TTTTCTATTAGGGTTATCACCTTCTTTGTGTTGATTTCCAATTTCTAATACTGAAATCAGAATCATCAGCTTATCCCACACCTCCAAATTCAAAGTATCATCTGTGGACATAGGCTCTCCAGAGCACTTCCACTCATTCTGCGATTAGACATCAGACAAAGACTAAGCCTTGAAGAAAACAGTGAAAACACTGTTTCCTCAATGAGACCAAAGGAGAAAGAGACGAGGACAGGTGGAAATAATGAATTCTCTGATAGTAAAACTTGCAGGTAAATTAGTTAGCACCTTGATAATAAATGGATTGAACATACTGACTATAGGATGTCTTTCTTTGTTAGATGTGCTAGAACTAGGCAGAAATCAGGTTCCTGTAAGATGAAGGAATTTAGAGATAAGCTTAAACTGTAGCTTTCCAGACTGTCTAATCTGTGTTGTTTAAGTTTCCAGAAAGAATAAACTGTAGTGAACAACCTAAACATGATTTGATTGATAGTCATTTATCCTTTTTCCCATCTGTTTTAACTCAGATACAAAACTAAACTTCCTGTTGTTTGGATAAGACAGGGACATGAAAGACCAATGAAAATCACACATGCTAAAAGAATCTTCCTTTAAGTATGAATGAGTTTTCAATATCCTTTTAAAATTTGTGACCTTTCTTACTATCCATTCATTATTTAATCAGCATATATTTAATATGCATTGGTTACACATCAGGCACTGGGCCTAAGCTATAGTAGATACAAAGATAAATAATATGTGGCTTTTTGCATAGAGGAGATCACAGTTTCTTATATGAGATAACTGTGAATACTCAACTATAATAAAGTATGGTTATTGTATAATATAGGCAAACAAAATGCTGAGAATTGAAATGAAAAAGCAATTTTTTTTGGTCTGGGCTTCAGAAAGACTTTGGAAAAAAATAAATTTTACGTCTTAAATGAGTTTTTAAAAATAAATACATCCAGAAACTCTACCTGGAGTCACTTATTGAAAACTCATTTAGAATTTAAACTATACTGTGAGCGATAAAAGATTTTAAATAGGGGGGATTTTAAGCAGAGAACAGACAACAATATCCTTTGACAAAGATAATTAAAGCAGCAGTATGGAAATAGATGAAAATGAGACTGGTGTTATAAAGATTTGTTAAGAAGCAATTACCACAGCATAGGCAGGAGACGTTAGGTCCTGAACTCTGATGTGACAGTGAAGATGAAAAACAGGAATCATTTGACATTTAAGGTTTGATGACTGACTGAATGCTGGAGTGAGGTCAATAGAAAATGTATTCATTCAACTAATATTTCTTGAAACTCTTATGTGTGTGCTATGCTATGTGAAAGACTAGGGCAGGGCTTCTCAATTTCAGCATTATTGACATTTTGGAATGGATTGTTGAGGAGGAAGCAGAGGCCTGTCCCATGTATTGTGGGATGTTTGGCAACATTCCTAACCTCTATTTGCTAGAAGCAAATACCACCTTCACTCAGTCAGGACCACTAAAATATCTTCAAACGTGACCAGATTTCCCCTGGAAGAGCAAAACTGCCCCCTGGTTTAGAACCATGGGAACTAGGTGCTCTGGCTTGAAGAGACTCATTGTTCACTAGAGAGATGCTTACAATATAAGCATGCCAAGGTATAGAAAAGTCAGAAAGGAGGAAGTGGTCAATATTCTTTGGGGATGGGAAAGCATAAAAAAGTCTCCATAAAGAAGGAAACAATTTGAGGGACCAACAGATGGCATAATGGTTATGTTGCTGGACCCCCACATAGTCAACTGCAGCTCGAGTCCTGGACCCAGCGACTTAAAACTCATGCCAGGTGCAAGTGTTTGTGGGGTCAGGATCCAACCCAAAGAATGGAGGAGAAAGGATTGCGGTTTGGCCATCCTCCCTGGGGGGTGATTTTTTGCTTCTGTCTCTCTATCTCTCTCTGTCTCTCTGGCAAGTGCACACACCCTATAGCAAAACTCTCTCTTAAAAATAAAATAAAATAAAATAAAATAAAAGAGGAAACAATTTGAACTGAATCCTTAATCAAGGGCATTCAAGGCAGATGATAAGAACATGAAAGCAAAACACTATTATCAGGTATTAAGAGAATCTTGAGCCTGTTAGTGTAGGTGCCTGCATAGATGGCAACATCATCACCAAAAATGAGAAACAGGAGAAACAGGATGCTGAGATTGTAGGATTTGAGGATTTGTTAGTTCTTAGAAATGCAGATAGAAGTAGGGAACATATATATGCACTTAGAAGTCATAGGTATGTATAGATAATAACTTGAAGCCATGGAACTGCATCATATCCCTTAAGGAGAATGTTTATAAGTGAAAGATAGAAACCTTTCAAAATGCCAGCCTTCAAGAAGATGTCTAGGAAAGAGAAGCATGTGAAATCAATAGGGGGAAAATATCAGTACTTTATTTCAATTACCATTACATTGTAATATACAGTGAAATAATTATACAACTCACCATAATACAGTATTTGCAGCCACTCCCCAGGGCCAGCATCACCACCTTAGCTGCACCTCACATCATCAGGCATTAGATTCTCATAAGGAACGTGCAGCCTAGATCCCTCGTATGTGCAGTTCACAACACGGTTTGAGCTCCTATGAGAGTCTAATGCCACCACTGATCTGACAAGAGGTAGAGGACAGGCAGTGATGTGAGCAATAAGGAGCAGCTGTAAATATAGATGAAGCTGTACTTGCTTGCCAACTGCTCACCTCCTGCTGTGTGGCCCAATTCTTAACAGGCCACAGACTGGTACCAGTCCTTGGCCCAGAGGTTGGGGACTCCTGATTTAATGCATTGCACAAATCTGGAAAGCAGGAATTCAATGTAGGGTGCTTTGTTCTCTCCTATTTCAGAAACAAGCACCACTGTGGAAATGTCCAGATTTTCTACAGGAACTTTCTGATAAAAGCCACTGGTTAATCTAGGAAAGGTAACAGCAATCTTGGTAGCCTAGTTCTACAGAATGACTCTCAAATTCGTTCCTGAAAATTTCAATTTAAAGTCTAAAATTTTGGCCTTCCCAATTGTTCTGTAAGCCCTTTAAAATCTTAAAGATACTCATGTCTGCTTAATCCAGTTAGAGTGGATTCTACTTTCCATGGCTCAGCATTAAATATCTAGTCAACTCTACACATGAAGCCCAGGCTAGTGCTTCTCTACCCATTCTTTCTCCCGCTCCTAAACATCCCCATAAATAGAAATCATGAAGTACACATATTTTGATATGAACTAGCAGAACACATCTTCAGTGCACACAGCTCAAAATCCAAGTACTGCTGGTTTCAGTCTTTTTTTTAATATGAGAAATAAATATTCTTTAATGAAGCAATGAAAAAGCAAGTGATAGATTGACACAAACCATCTCAATAGCTCTAAAAATATTTCAGTTTGAATCAAACATGACAATAAAAGGATTAAAGTCATTAATATGTAAGGAGTTCTTATACATCAATTAAAAATTATTAAAGCATCAATAGAAAAATGGGCAATGTATACACACGAATAATTTAAAGAAGAAAAATGCTAGTGGACAATAAACATACAAATATAGGATACAATATCAATATTTATAGTATCCTTTTAAATAATTAAAATATATGGTATATTATATCATTTATATACGTTACAAATAAGTCATATATTTCATCAGCATGTATTCTAAAGTTTTTGTCATAGGGCATGTGCAGTTGCCAGAGAGTCAGAGAGAGAAAGTGATAAATCATCCCACCAGTGGGATTTGGGGCATGCACACAGATATGCCTGTCATGATTTTCAAACCACTGGTCCGGGACACGAACAACAGTCAACCATGTGGCAATCCAATTGCCTTAACCGCCATGGCACCTGCTGGCCCCTTGCACCAGTATTTATATTTTTTAAGAGAGAGTTTTGCTATAGGGCATATGTGCTTGCTGGAGAGACAGAGAGACAGAAAGTGAGAAATCACCCCCAGAGAAGATGGCCGTATTTTGGGCATGTGTGCACATGCGTCTGGTGTGAGTTAAAGCCACCAGGTTGGAACTTGAACCATAGTCAACTATGTGGCAGTCCAGTGACATAACCATTACGCCATTCACTGCCCCTGCCCACATCAGCATTTTTAAACAAAGGTATTAAGACAAAAAAAATGGCTTCTTGCATTTGAGGGTATATTTTACATGTATAGGAGCAATTTCAAAACTATTTGTTGTCATCCTCTTACAACTTCCAAAAACATCCTGATAATTCCTCCATCTTTGTTATTTATTAAAAACATAAATATATCCCCTTTAAAAATCTATTCTTATTTATATATTAAGTGATTTCTATAGCCATGCTATTTAAAAGAAGAGAGTAAAAAAAAATAACTTAGGTTTTCAGTAATAGGGTTTTGGCTATATTGATAATTGTACAACTGAATTTTGAAACATTTAGAGTTTATTTCAAAAGATATATATTAGTATGTAATTAAAGTTCATGATACAAACTATATGCAGTATAAACTCAAATTTATCACATAAAAATATATATGCATATGAAAATATTAGAGAGAAAAATAGAAATGATAGCAATAATTGAAGGAAAATATCACAGGTATTTTTATTTTACATTTATGTAAATGTTTCCTATAATGAGCAAGTATTAATTTTTTTTTCCAACATTTATAAGACATTTATTATTTTTCTGTTCAAAGTGCAATGATTTTTAAATCTTATTAAACAAATCACTGAAAAAAGAATTCAAGAAAACAAAATACAAATGGGAAATCTAACCATTAGATTGCATCTTCTAATTTACCCTAACCCTACAATTAGTCTAGAAAACAAACAGAACACCTCTGAAGTGTTACTAAAATGATAACTAAATCATTTTAGCATAAATCTAACACATGCATTTCGAAGTTCCACTATTAGGAATTTTGTTAAGATCAGTTTAATCGTGAATAACTATGTAATAGAGCTCAAGGAACACAAGCCATTAGATGTGATCCTTGCCCCATACTCTCACCTCAGAGTATGTCAGAATAAAGCTGACATTTCTGTCAGGCTCTGAACCCCCAGTGCCTCCAACTCAAACCTTGGAAGCAAAGAATCTGCCCTGTCATACAACTCAGAACATGTTGTAGTAAAACAAAGTCTAAGTTTTCTTACCTTTCTATAGTAAATGGTCAGTTATTTGACAAATACTAAACCACTGCTAGGAATCCATTTTATGGATTTGTTTACCAAACACATTGTGCAAGAACTGACTACATAAAAGTTCTTTGAAATTTGGTCCACAAATTCACTTAAGGTCGGAAATTTTAAATCTGCAAGAAAAAGAAGAAATGGGGATCCCTAATCCTAACATATTGTAGTTACTAAGGGGATATACATGCATACTAAAAAGATTTGCTCACAGAAGGCACAAACTATAAAAGGGATATTCTTTTTCAGTAAAAACAAAGAACTAGTTGATATCCTTCTTTGTTTTGTGAGCACCATAACTAAGATGAAGTTAAACCTGAATTCACTGTTTCTTCCTGTGACCCCCCAAAAAAAAAACATAAAAAAATTATCTTACTATATATACTTCCAAGCCATTGAGATGTAATTATGAAAGATTAAAATTGCCTTAAAAGGGGGTTGTGACAGCAGCTACCAAAGCAATATTCAAGCATGATTTCAAGGATGCTTTTAGGTTTTCAATTAGCCTTCCTTGTCAAAAATCTTCACAACTTCACTGAAAACCTGTAAAGGAAAAAGAGAATTTTAAAGGTAGGTATTGTTAAAACACAATATAGCTAAGTTCTTCTTAAAAAGTCAATTTCATATTACTTTTTAAAATGGTTCATTAAAATATCACATTTTTATTTATTTTCACCTAACTTAGACAGTAATATAAGTAGCACATAAAATTTTAGAAATGTTAAATTCAATTTTTCTTTTCTTCTGGTCCTTTCCTTTTTATCTTGTGAATATAAGAAGAAAATAATTTAGAGAAGAGAGATTAGGTAAATTAAGAGACACTAGAACTATGTGCTGGACACTGGACTTATAAACCACAATTTAAAAATGTATGAAGAAACAGATGATAAGTAGTGGACCTCTGGAACTATCTGATCTGTGATGGAAGAGAAGAAAGCAGCAGTGTGGGGATCTTGAGCTAGATGATTTGCCGTCCACAGTATAGATTTTTTTTTTTTTTTAATGAATGTGATCTAAATCACAGTTCTTAAAATAACAATTTTCTAGTACTTGGGAAAAGAGGTTTAAAATTAATAAGCTATCCATTTCTCATGAAAAATAGGTCTGAAGTTGTAAAACTCATTTTAGACTCTCTTCAAAAAGAAACACCTGATTTTTCATTTAGTCTTAAAAACAAACCAACTAACCAGTGTCTTAAAAACAAACTAACCTATCATAGTACTTGTTTTTCTTCTGTTCACCCCAAAAGAGATAATCACATTTTCACTTTAATTTGATTTTATTTTTTTAAGGCAGGCCAGGGGTACTCACTTCATCAACAGACTTAGAAGCATCTATTTTCTTGACTTTCCCCATTTCTTCATATAAGTCAATAATTGGCTTTGTTGACTGAAGATAGGTCTGAATTCTGCAAAAGAGACAAATATTGCAAGGCTCTAAGCATCCAATCTTTCCCCTCCGTGTTACAGGACAGCTCAGAGGACAGCAGTGGGTCTAACCCAGCTGACTCACTTACCATCTCCTAATACAAGCCATTTATATATTTTTTTGAAATTCTACTTTTATTGTTTGATTTCTTATTTACATTTAATCAATGTGCATGCCATTTACATTTTTTTTTTTGAGAGTTTTTTGCTATAGGGCGCATGCGCTCACCAGAGAGAGACAGAGAGACAGAAAGTGAGAAATATGGCCATGCCACAATCCCTTCTCCTCCATTCTCTCGAGATCTTGGGCATGCACGCAAACGTACTCAGTGTGAGTTTAAGCCACTGGGTCCCAGACTTGAACCACAGTTGGCTACATGGGAGTACAGCAACATAGCCATTATGCCAACTGCTGGTCCTGCTATTTACATATTTAAAGATGACATTTTTTTTCTGAACCCAAATGGGGTAGATCTGTGATCTGCCAGTCAAGTTCCACACCAGGATTGAGGAGGTTAGATGTAAAAACTGTAAAGTACCTCTTTTCCAAGCTCTCTCTGTTGTCATCACTCCTACCACTACTCTTTCCTCTCTCGAGGCATCGTTCAATACAGATCTAAAAAGAGATACAAAGTATTAAAAAAAAAAAAAAACCAGAAAGATATAAATTTGTCATTCTTTTAACTTAAAAAGAAAATATTTGAAAAGATTTTTAAAAACCTATATTAAACCCACTGTGTCCAATTCATTAATCAACATGCAAAGTCCTTTTAAACATGTGGTTCAATTTATATAAACTAGGTTAAGTAAGTACAGAGCATAAGAATTCAATGATGACTCAGTTTTTCCTGTGTATTTTTTTTCAAACTGCAATAAGAAGAAGATCTGCACGTGTACGGTTCCATCTCCGATATATTATTAACTTATTAGGTATGAATTCCATGCTTCAAACTTGTTGCATTATTGCTTACTTTTTGATAATGCCATAAATATCCAAATATTTAAGAGTCAACATATTGCACTTGAATAAAAAAAATCCCTTGTTAATTGTGAATAAACATTCCTTAGTTATAAAGCTGTGGTAACATTCAAAAGTTAACTTTGAAGAATAAGTAAAAACATATTTTTGGGGGTTGGAAGAAGTGGGTTCCATTTTAAAACAACTCAAGGCTGCCACAAGTCTCTCCATCACAGGCACATCTGCAATTCAACCTAAGAATAGCCAGCTTCCTTCGAGGCACTGCTTCAGATTCTTATTCTCAGGTGTTGGTATTAATTTAATGAAATTTATATCACAGCAGCTGTAAGAGTCAGGCCTTTTGATTTAATGATACTGAGAAATTAATTTAGTTATTCAAAGATACATCTAGGTATGTTATTAGAAGTTCCAGAAAGAGGGACCAGCTGATGGCAAAATGGTTACATTGCTGGACTCCTAGGTAGCTGACAGCAGTTTTAGTCTTGGACCAGGTAGCTTAAAACTCAAGCTGGGCCTGTGTGCATGTGTGCCCAAGGTTACAAGAGGAGAATGAAGGAGAGGGGAATGTGGGGGTTGATGGTTTGCTTTCTGTCTCTCTGGCAAGTGCATGTACCCTATAGCAAAAATCTCTTTAAAAAAATAAAAAGTACCAGAAAGTAGCTGGGCCCTTGTAATCCCAGTGACTTGGGGAGCTGAGGAAGGATGATTATGACAAAGTAAGACCTGTCATAAAAAACAAAACAAAACAAAAATAAAACAATAAGGGCCAGCAGGTGGAGTGGTGGTTAAGGCACTGGACTCCAATATGGCTGACAGTGGTTTGAGTCCTGGAACTAGCAGCTTGAAAATCATGCCGGGCATGTGTATGTGTGCACCCAAAGTTCCTAGGGATGAAATGGAGAAAGGATTGTGGCATAGCAATCCTTCCTGGGGGTGGGGGGATCTCTCACTTTCCCTCTGTCTCTATCTCTCTGGCAAGTGTGAGTGGTCTATGGGCAAAACCTAAAAAAAAAAAAAAAAAATCATAAAGAATGTTTTCCTATTTTTTCCAAGATCATTTTACTTTAAAAAAAACAAATTAGACTATCTTATATGTTCGTTAAAATAGAAAAGCTTCCCAATTTCCCAGAAATGTGTTTATTTTCTAGTAAACAATACCCTAAATGGGTTTCTTTTCCAGCAAACAGTCAATAATAGAACATACCTAAGAAAGAAGTAGTTCAGTTTTATTATCTAACATTATGGTACATGTCAATTCTTTTTTTCTTTTTAAAAAAATTTTAGTATTATTATTTAGTTTTGCTATAGGGCACATGCTCAGTAGGGGAGAGAGAGACAGAGAGAAAGTAAGAAATCACTCCCCAGGGAGAGTGGCCATGCCACAATCCCTTTTCCTCCATTCTCCTCTAAGGACTTTGGACATAGACACACATGTGCCCACTGTGTTTTTCAAGCTGCTAAGTCTGGGACTAGAACCTTGGGTTTGGTCATATGGAATCAGCTGCCTTAACCACCACACCACCAGCTGGCCCCTACATGTCAATTTTTACTTAAAAAAAAAAAGATAAAAAAACCGAATTCTTATTATTTTGAAAATAAAAAAGGTCCACAAGTTTCCTGATGCCAAATAGTTTTTAATATTCCAATAGCAAGACAGTGCTGTTCTGTCTACCCAATATGCCAATTCAAAAAAATACTGCCACCAATATAAAACATAAGTAAAAGTAAAAACAAACAAAAAAAAATTCCTTTCCCCCCAAAAATTGACCATTAGTTGCTTAAAGCCCATGTGGGCAGATGACAATTTTCATTACCTCATTATTGCAGTCAAAAAACAGAACGAAAGATACATCTGCCTTCCCATCCATGGTCTTGTTCCAACCTTGAAGGTTGTCCTGATTTCTTGGAAACCCATCAATCAAGAATTTATTCTTCTGAGCATTGGCAGCCATCGTCTGATCCATTTCCCTCTTTAATAAACTGATGGTTATCTCAACCGAGCATTGGCAGCCATTGTCTGATCCATTTCCTAAAGGAAACAGAAAGTTTAGGTTCAATACTGTATTAACAAAATGCAATTTCTTAAGCAGAGTAGTGGATACATCGGTATTTATTTATTTATTTTTAATGACTGTTTTTATTGGGCCAGCAGGTGGCGTGGTGGGTTAAGGCGCTGGACACTCCCACATGGCTGACCAGAGATCGAGTCCCAGATCTGGTGGCTTGATTTCTCACTTAAATGAATAATTCTTTAAAAATTAATTTTATTTAACTTTATTCATCCATTTATTTTGATTTGACCAGAGAGGGATAGAGTGAGAGAGAGAGAGAAAGAGAGAGAGAGTGAGAGAGAGAGAGAGAAAGTGAGAAAGCAAGCTGCCAGGTCCAGGACTTGAACCATGGTCAGCCATGTGGGAGTTCAGCGCCCTTAGCCACCATACCACCTACTGGTCCCAGCATTTGTTTTACTATTACTCCTTAATTCATAAGTAAAAAGTGAAAAGTGTATAGAAACACTAGAAGGAAATATATTAACATAGTTGTCTCAAGCTGGCAGCCTAAGTATATTTTATGCACAAACATACACAAGTTTTCCAAGTTTCTGTAGTAAGCATATTACTCTCACATACACTCACAAAGTTACAAATAAACAATAAGAGCAGCAATAAGAGGAAAATAATCATTAGCCATTATCTTCACTCCAGCCACTGGAGACCTTGTTTTGCCTTTCCTTTGTCTTTCCCAAGTCATTTTGCTATGGTCAAGTATGCGATGTCTATAGGAGCTCAACTTTGCTACAATTCAAGTCTAAGAACAAAAAGCTTTGGACAAATATAAAAAGATTGTTAGCATTAACTATTAGTGTAGAACTAAAATAATGCCACTGGCTGTCCCAAAACATAGGTAGCAAAAAAAAAAAAAATAAAATCAGAAAGGTGGCAAAAGAGGGCCAGCCAATGGCATGGTGGTTAAGGCACTGGATTCCACACAGATGACAGTCTAGGTGGAGTCCTGCATCCAGCACCTTGATAACACACTGACAATGTGGTACCCTCTGCACTCAGGCTTTCTTGTTCCTTGAGGAGAACGATGGCTGTCTTTCTCCAGAGAAAGAACTTTACCTGAGGTGGGTTTTATACCAGCACCTAGCTTCTTTTCTGGTATATATAGAACAGGTACAGGATGCTCTTAGGTCTCGGTTATAGCATTTCTACCACAATTATGTAGTGGAAGGTACAACTCTATGTATGTGTGTGTGTATGTGTGTGTGTATTTTAATTTCCCAAAGGGCACATGCATTCACCAGAGAGAAAGAGAGAGAAAGAGATGGAGAGGGAGAAAGCACACTCCAAGGTCATGGTCAAGCAGCAATCCCTTCTCCCCTATTTTTCCATTTTGTTGGGATTTGGGGCATGCACACACACATGCCTGGCATAGTTCTCCAGCCACTAGATCAAGCAAGTGGTCAGCCACGTGGGATCTGGCTACCTTAACCACTAGGCCACAGGGCTGGCTTGGCACATCAATATTATACTCACTCATCATACATTTATTTGAGGCCCACTGTCAGTGAACATGACAGATACATATACGTAGATGTGCTGAGTTCTAGAGTAGATGTGTAAAAGACACTACGGTAAAGCCAAGACATAAGCACAAACTGCCTGGGAAACTGTGAGAGAAAGCTATACCAAAGAGGTGGAAGTAGAGCTGAATACTGAATAATAAAATAGGCAGACAGAGATCAATGCCCTCCAAAGAGTGGAAACTGGATGTATAAAGGCTCAGAAATGAGAAAGCATAACAGCTATGTATGATGAATTTGAAGTAAACTGGTATAACTGAATCTCAAGTACGTTTAGAGAGTGGCAGGAGCTATGACTAGAAAGTAAGTAGGGAGGATTGATGAAAACTGTAATGTCACACTGAGGTTATGGGTTTTATTCTGAAAGCAGTACAAGACCATTTAAGAATTTTAAGCAGAAAAACATGCTTATATTGCATTTTAGGGGAAAAATCACTCTAATGCCACCAAGAAGGATGAATTAGAAGATGACAAGGATCGATTAAAGGCAAATAGATTAATTAGAAGGCTCTAGTGATAGTCTAGGTAAGAAAAAAATAGGATCTGAACTAAGGTGATAGTGGTAACAGAGAAAAGAAACAGAAGAGGATTACAGGAAAGATAATTGGAAAGACCTGCTCGCTGAATAGATTTGGGAAAATGAAGAAGTAGCAGACAATATAGGTTAGCTCCCAGATTTCTGCCTTGAGCAGCTGGGTAGTAGTAGAACCATTAACCAAGACAGGAAATAAAGGAAGATCACCTTTTAGATTATACATTCAGCTTTTGACATGTCGATTTTTTAAAAAGAATTATTTATTTAATTTTATTTACTATTATTTTTAAATTTTGCTACAGAGCATGTGCACTCACCAGAGAGAGACAGAGAGAGGGAAAGTGAGAAAGCAAGCCACCAGATCTGGGACTTGAACCATGGCCGGACATGTAAGAGTCCAACACTTTAACTACCACATCACCTGCTGGACCCTTGACATGTTGATTTTGAGATGCTTGTGAGACAGACAGATGTCCACAGATAGTTAGAAATACAAGTCTGGAATTCAGAACAAGGACCTGTGCTAGGGCTATAGATTTCTTCATCATCGATACAGTAAGAACCTTGGGCATGATTAAAACCATGCAGCAAGAATACAGTCGTATGTCACTGAAGAAGGGGGACATATTCTGAGAAATGCGTTGTTACATGATTTCATTGAGTAAATATCACTGAGTGTATTTACACAAACCTAGACAGTATCATCTACTACATACCTAGGCTATATGGTATACTCTATTGCTCCTCGGCTACACACATTATGGTACATCACTGTACTGAACATGGGTGGCAACTGTAAGACAATGGTAAGCATTTATGCATCTAAACATGTAAAAAAGAGGTACAGTAAAAACACATTATAAAAGATGAGAAATAGTACACCATTATAGGTACTTAGCATGAACTTAGCATATTACTCTCACATACACTAACAAAGTTACAAATAAACTGTAAGAGCAGCAGGACCAGAGGCTGCTCTGAGTGGGTCGGTGAGTGAGTGATGAGTGCATGTGAAGGTCTACAATATGACTGTACACGATGGTAGATTTTAATAAAACTGTATACTTAACTACATTTATAAAAAAGTTTTCTTCATTCAATAATAAATTAACCTTAGCTTACTGTAACTGCTTTATTTTATCAACATTTTAAGTTTTTTGTAATGGGAGATTTTTGCTGGGGCCTGGACATATTGCCACCATCCTGCTCCAGCTTCCTAGTTACCAAGGATTACAGGTGCACAGCCAGCCTTAAGCTTTTTCTTTTTTTTTTTAAAGGGAGATTTTTGTTATAGGGCGTGTATGCTCACCAGAGAGACATAGAGAGACAGAGACAGAAAGCGAGAAATCACCCCGTAGGAGAAATGACCACATCACAATCCCTTCTCCTCTATCCTCCTCTCGGGATTTTGGGCACATGCACACACACAGCCAGCGTGAGTTTTAGCCACCTGGTCCAGAACTTGAACCATGGTTGACTATGTGGGAGTCCAGTGACATAACCATTACACCATCTGCTGGTCCCAAACTTTTAAAAAGTTTTTTGACTCTTTTTGTAATACACTTAGCTTAAAAAACAAACACTGTGAAGCTGTTTCAAAATCCTTTCTTTCTGGGACCAGCGGATGGCATGGTGGTTAAGGTGTTGGATGCTGGATACTCCCATATGGCCGACCATGGTTTGAGTCCTGGACCTGGTGGCTTGCTTTCTCTCTTTCTTTCTCTTTTTTTTTCTTTCTCTCTCTGTCCCTCTCTCTCGCTGGTCAAATTAAAAAAATAAATTAATGAATAAATGAAATTAAATAATTATTTTTTAAAAATTCTTTCCTTATTTACATTCTCATCCTGTAAGCTTTATTATATTTTTAAAATTTCTAATATTTTTTTCCTCTTTAAATTGTTTTGTTAAAAATGAAGACACAAACACACACATTAGTCTACATAAGGTCTGGATCATCAATATCATTGTTTTCCACACTTCCACATCTTGTCCCACTAGAAGGGCCATGATAATTAAAACAACATAAGATTAAATCAAGCACAAAAGAAAATGATGCAAGCAAGAGACCTGGTAGAGAGGAAATGTATGGGGTCAGCAGGTGGCAGAGTGGTTATAGGGCTGGACGGACTCCTTATGGCCAACCACAGTTCGGGTCCCAGATCTGGCAGCTTGAAAATCAGGCAGGGTATATGTGCATGCATGCCCAAATTCCCAGAAGAGTGCAGAAGGAAGATTACCCCCTGGGGGTAATCTCCCAGTCTCCCTCTCAGTGCCTCTTTCTCTGGGGAGTGTATGTGCCCTATGAAAAAACCTTAAAAAAAAAAAACAAAAGGGGGAAATGTATGAGGCTGCTGCTGGTGTAACATGTACTGTTGTATGGTAAATTTTTTTTTTTTAAGAATTATTTTTATTTTGGGGCTGGCAGGTGGCATGGTGGTTGAGGGTGCTGGACTCCCACATGGCCAACCGCAGTTCTAGTCCCAGACCTGGTGGCTTGCTTTCTGTCTCTGTCTCTGTCTCTCTCTCTCTCCCCCTCCCTCCCTCTTTGGTCAAACAGAAATAAACAAATGAATAAATAATTAATTAAATAAAAATAATTCTTTTTTTTTTTAAAAAAAAAGCCTAGGTTTTTTTTTTTAATTTCTTTTTAAAGAATTTTTAAAGAATTCTTTTTAAAATTCTTTTTTTTAAAAAGAATCATTTTTATTTAATTTTATTTATTATTAGTATTACTATTTTTAATTTAAGAGACAGAGAGAGAGAAGGAAAGTGAGAAAGCAAAGCACCAGGTCCAGGACTTGAACTATAGTCCACCATGTGGAAGTCCAGTGCCCTCAACCACCATGCCACTTGCCAACCTCATAAGCTTTTTATCCCC